GTCCGGAGATAGGGATTAGCTCTATCTAGTGGGCCCAACTGTGTAGGAACCTGAAGACGGAGATAGAGTCCCATCTCCGAAACGTCGTTTTACGTTTTATATTTACTAGACGATGGATAATATCCAAGTAAATTTTTATTCAATTGACTCTTCACCATCGTCAAGAAGTTTTAGATTTGATATACGATAATACAGATAATGTATTTCCTAAGAAAATTCACTGCAATAATCGTAAGCTACGTCCTGACAGAGCAAATGATTATCAGAACACCTCGTGAAAAAAATTTCACTTGAACGTGTTACAGAGCGTTAGATGAAACAAGAAAGTAACCATGACCTGTGAACAGGAGTGGATTTTGGACGAAGGAGGTTCCTTGAGTTCTGTGAATGCTGTAATCAGCTTAAAAACCAAAGAAGACCATGGAAAATATCCGAGTTTCATAAACAGAACGTCCACATTGCCAGCCGTCACTCACAAACCTGCTAGTTGGAGACCCTCTCTCCTCTGCCCTTAGCTGTGTGCACTGTTCTCGTATTTTTCACCTTTTCCAACAACTTTCTTCTTCAACAGCGTCGGCGATACTGAAGTGTGTGAAGTGTGAAGTTCCTTCTCGTACCAAAAACGCGAAGCTCTTCGGCGATATTCTGGATTAGGAATCAGCAAAATGCCAACACGTGGAACAGACGGAAATCACACAGCGGAAACACAGAAAGGTGAACGAGATCCCTAAACGACAGAACGACGTCACATCATGACGAGAGGTAAAGTGACAACTATCTGCGCACTTAAGTTTTATTTGCAGTACAAATCTAAGTCAGCGTTCTGTAAACGGTTTAGTTGAAGTGGTTATAAAAGAAATGTTTGAGGAACGGCTTTAAAATACAGAGTTTAATTTTCACCACTGATATAACGGAAAAAATAACACTTCAAAACTAACAAAACCTACAAATGAACATTTTAAGAGTTTTCTGCGACACTTGTATCCAATTCAGGAGCAGATAATTAAATTTTATTTTGGAATCGCTCGGGACTATTCGAAAGCAATATCGAAAAGGTAAAATATTTTTTTTAAAAAATCCCGCATTTCAAAAATGATGTAAACAGCTATCAATTACTCGCTTCTGCTAACAGACATTGCAGACATACTAAAAGATACAAAAGTGACGTTGTTGTTAAGACATGCATTGATTAGACCGTGATATGGACACCATTCGATTTTATTCCCAATAACAGCCAATAAAAAAACAGTGGTCTCGCGACCCGAAAATCTTAAACTTCCGTTAAATCCCAGATATTAATATTACTGAAAAACACTTCATTCTATAAACTAAAAATTCATAAAGGACTTCTGTATTAAATTATCGGCATCTGAACATCACAATGAGCCTGGCTGAATTGCATCCACTACAAAGTAAATAAATCTCAAATTAATACGTATTCACCGTTTTGAAAAGCCTTTTTTTTTCCCAAAATTACTTCACATGTGTCCATTGGTTACAGAACACGGGCCTATATTCGTATGTTTCAAACGACACTCAAAATCAGAGACACGTGTGAATGCAAAGATATTCTGTCCGCTGTCGAAACAGATCACACGAAAACAAAATCACGTTTTGCTACGAGAAACAATTCACACGTGTCTGAAACCAATTGTACACACACACACATTACGAAAACCTTTCTTCGTACATGGCACAAAGTCTGGGCAGGTTCCAAACCTTCCCACACAGCATCTCGGTAAGTACTGCAGTGAACAAACGGTAACCGGTCACGTGGCATGGAGTGAAGTCAGTAAACTCGACCTATCAGCTGTTGCAGACTCCCAACTGGCAATAGCTAACATGATCTCGCTACAGTGACTGAGATCCGTCTGTGGTACACTACGGTAGAATACGTCACAGTATAGTTGAGAGTCGCGTTGCTGGGCCCTCTCCTATACAGCAGCACGTACAAAACACACCTTCTAAACAGTACCTTTTGTATTAGACGGGTGTGAAACTTCGTTCTGAAACGAGCGAACACACTCACATTCCAGCACGTAAATCCAGTTACAGGAAGAAAAAAACATGTTGAACGAAAATTTAAGCACCGTTAACTATTTGAAGCCGAAGATCGTCTAAATAATATTTGAGAATTCAGTCCGTACCGCAAAGAAAACACAACTCTTTACCATAAAAAATATCAACTGGTTAACCCTTTAAAGCCGAAGTTCGTCGAAATATTTAAGAATTCAGTCCGTACCGCGAAGAAAACACAACTCTTAACCATAAAAAATATCAACTGGTTAACCCTTTAAAGCCGAAGTTCGTCGAAATATTTAAGAATTCAGTCCGTACCGCGAAGAAAACACAACTCTTAACCATAAAAAATATCAACTGGTTAACCCTTTAAAGCCGAAGTTCGTCGAAATATTTAAGAATTCAGTCCGTACCGCGAAGAAAACACAACTCTTAACCATAAAAAATATCAACTGGTTAACCCTTTAAAGCCGAAGTTCGTCGAAATATTTAAGAATTCAGTCCGTACCGCGAAGAAAACACAACTCTTAACCATTACAAAGAGCAGATAGTTAACGCTGTTTAAGGAAATAATCTCTGTTTACAGTGAAAATCATACGAAACACGTAAATACAAAATGCAACATTACTGACTTTTAAAGCAGTAAAAACCCGCCACTGGACTCATTACTGAGAAAGTTCCATCACCGTTTCATCAAAACCCAACACCCTTTGAGATGCATCTTTGTGCTAACCTGCCATTTCCCTCAAGGTCTTCCAAAGTTCCCCACCGAAACTGTGTACGCATTCCTTGTATCAGCTGGTACTTAACGGCATAAGGTGGCCTTCTTATAAAACACTGCTCCAAAGATTTTCACTAGCATTGTTTACAAACACCTGAGACCTCTTCTCGCATCGCAACATTCCGTTGTGTTCCTCGATCCTACTTTTTTTATTAAAGCCGCATAATTATGACTTCTAATCTACGATATAAAACAGTGGTTATTAAACGTTAAGTATTGAATTTTAAAGGTTATCTGTGCACAATACAATGTAAAATTAACTTTTAACTCGTAAGAAAATAAGTTTCAAAAATACGTGTTAGGAACTTCTATAATAAATACACGAAAAATACAAGCTAAGAACATAAAATGCTTCAAAAATCATACCAAAGCGACATCACTTACTTCGTCGATTATCTTCAACCGTTTTAATCAACGGTTTGGTCGAAATTTCAGACATTCGATAAGATTCCTTGGTTGTAAAACAGCACACTGCAATACCACTACCTACATAGCACAATGCTAAGCAACGCTCGAGACGAGCCCCCCCCCCCAAAAAAAAAAAAATTCTGGACACTTAAACTGTCAGAACACCAACGAGGAGTGTTTTATATGGTACGTGATACAATTTCCGTCCGCTTGATCTGTGCGAAGACATCCCGTGTTTGTTTCAAGCTGACGTCACAACACGACTTTGCAGACGACTGAGGCGAAATGAATGAAGATTGTATTGTAATATGGCACAAGAATATATCACACTTTCAAAAGATTCCTAATCCAACAAAATAAATTCACTGTCCTGTTCGTAAAACACAGACCATAGACGGTGAACGAATCTAGACTGTGTTAACAAGCGACTTGTGCACTCTGTCCGCCGCCAATCACCACGTCCTTCATAATGCATCGCCAGGGACAACTCACACACGCAAATCACAGCACGCAGTAACGCCGAGTGACAGAGTATTTCCACAGAAAACGATGATTCCTTGGTAACATTTCAGGTTCTCAAGGCGTCGAGTATGAAAATTATAGTCTTCTGGATGTTCCTTGATAAACTACCCGACTACAAGGCGGTACAACCCGGAAGACAGCCATTTCAATCCCGTTCAAGTCTTTAAAACCCACATCTTTAATATTTATTTGAAAACCAACTGTCCTTCCATGTACAAATCTCAAGTGATCTCATCGCTTAAAAATTTATAAAACAAAACTTCAGCAGCCCTATTTATTGACTCTACAATGCGAGCTACATATTCAGCCAATCATAATTTTAATCGTACACCAAAAATAGATAATACACTCTACAGTAAATTTATGACGACAGGTCCATATGAACAGGATCCTTCCATCCTTTTCTCGGACTGGGACCTGTTCATATACGTTCTTGGCAGATGGTCCAGAAGTGGTTTGCCATTGCCTTCTTCTGTGTGTGAATGGAGTAATTGTTGGGATGCCACGGAGGAAAACTCCGTGTTGCCTAGACCACGGCCTTGCCCAACACAAGTTATAAATTTGATAAAATAAAGTCGGCAGTTTTTTTTAAACCGCGTTCACAGCACAGCGCCGAGAAGAGCCGAGAAGGGCCGACATACATCGCACGTGACCAAATGCCTCGACGATGCTCCATTATTTATCCCCTGAGGGACTACAGTGGAATTCTCTGGGGTGATTCCACAGCACTGAGACGTTAAGAGCTGGAATAATTGAATAACACAACACAGGACGCGAAGGAACCCTGTGGATCGAGCACTGGACACTAGCCAGTTCCATCCAGTTCATTGCCACGCAAACAATTTTTCTAATTGGCAACTAAGTGCCTTGTCGAAAATAATACAAAACAATGTTCACAAATGCAGATATACTTCATGTTTCCCCAGAACAAAAACTATTTTTACTCTCATTCGGCTACGTCTCAAGGCCGTCAGAGATGCTGAATCAATTTATTTATTTATTTATCTATAGTTTATTTAAAGACACTTTTCAGCAGCTCAGACTAATATATCGTCGAATGAGAGACGATGACAGTGGAATTGGAAAGAACGTAGAAGGAAGCGGTCGTGGCCTGATTTAAGGCAATATCCCGAAATTTGCCTGTAGGAAGTGAGGAACACCACGAAAAACTCCAATAAGGATAACCGGTCTCCAGGCCGAGATCTGAACCCGGGACCTCCCGATTACGAAGCAGGATCGTTGCTGAAATCACAAAAATGGGAACACAACCCGAAATTGACTTCACTAAATGAAAATGGACGGACAGAGGCTCGTCCCCGAACAGACGATTTGGTTGTGATGCGTTAATTTAGGTTTCCTTTGGTGTGGTCAGGTTGGGTTAGGTAACGTTAGGTTTCATTTGCGAAGTAAAAAATAATAATCTCGCCCTGATGATGGAGGCAGTAAGGACCTCTGAAACGTTGGTAAAAGTGTACTAGACTACACGCTGGTACAACTCAGAATACAGCCATCTTCGGACTCACCTCAAATCGTTCAACAAACAAGATGACATCTAACGGCGAGGAGGTATAATCATTCTCGCAAGTAATGTCTATCGATTACTGTCAGTGGCCGCTACGTTTCCTAGCAACAGAGTGAAGAATTCGAGAAGATAACAGCACAGAAGCTGTCTGAATTCAATACTGGAACTTCATGCAGTGTTTTGCTTTTTTTTTAAAGTTACTGTAAAAAAAATTAGAACAGTCGTTAAATAGCTAAAGAATCAATCGACTAACCATATCGATGGACAAACTACGATATCGCCAGAAATCGATTTGGATAATCGAACGTAATCTCTGTCAGTTATCTTCGGTTTTTTCGCGAGTAAACATTCGATTTCATGTTCTTCGTCTCTTGTAAACATATTTTTCAAAGTTCTGCAAGGTCAAAGAGCCAAAACCATTAGCCTATACAATAAAAGTTGAATAACCAATCACTTTTACCACAATAAATTGACTATTTATTTCTTATTACTTGTATGATCTGAGGTTCTCATGGTGCTGAATATGAAGATGACTGTCTTCCGGGTAGTCTGCTAGAAGTTTACCGACGTTTTAGAGGTCCCTGCTGTCTCTATCATAGCCCTGATGATAGAGGCAGCAAGAACCTATGAAACATCTTTCCTGGGTTGTAACTCTTGTATAAGTCAGCCATTTCACAATGACGTAAGCTTTTTTTTATAATTTAATAAACTCTTTTGTCATAATTAACTACATCGCTTAGGGAACCCGAAGGTTCATCACCGAATTAACCAAAGCCCTCCACCGGACCCTGTCCTGGGCCAACAAAATCCAGTCTCCTTCAACTCCTATCTCCCATAGATCCCGCCTGAGAGTATCCTCCCATCTACGTCTAGGTCTCCCCAGAGGTCTCTTCCTCTCAGGCTTCCCAACCAACACCCAGTGCACACCTCTTGTCCTATCCATGCATGCTACATGCCCTGCCAATCTCATTCTTCTCAACTTAATCACCCTGACAATACCGGGAGAGGAGTACAATTTTTAAGTTAGTCATTATACGAGGGTCGCTCATTAAGTAATGCCCCACATTTTTTTTCTCAGCCAATAATGAAGATAGAAAAGTGCACTTTTTAACTAACTAGATGGCTTACCGAACCCGAGGTTCATCACCGAATTAACCGAAGCCCTCCACCGGACCCTGTCCTGGGCCAACAAAATCCAGTCTCCTTCAACTCCTATCTCCCATAGATCCCGCCTGAGATTATCCTCCCATCTACGTCTAGGTCTCCCCAGAGGCCTCTTCCCCTCAGGGGCACACCTCTTGTCCCATCCATGCGCGCTACATTCCCAGCCCATCTCATTCTTCTCGACTTAATCACCCTGACAATATTGGGGGATGAGTATAAATTTTTACGTTCGTCATCTTTTGTCCTCTATTTAACTAAATATGTAATGTATAGTCGTTTCATGACGCCAAAACGCGTTTGGCAAGCAAATAAATAAATGGCCAATCACTGTGGTAAAATTGGTTTCATTATCCAACTTCTGTACGTGATATCAGGGGTTTTAAGATTAGCCCAAAAAATTGGGCGACCTCTAGAAAGATGGAACCCAAATACGTCCGCAGAAAATGACTGATGATATGATCACGGCGATAATAATTCTGAGGGCAATCATCACTACCTCTAAGTGACGCGCAAGGCTACGAACTGGCACAAATTCAATTATGTACGAATAAGAAGGGAAACGAAGGCATCCTATCTTCATTTCCACATTCCTAGGCCGTTTCTTCGAGCCAGAGAGCACATTTTGCATCGTTAACAACACAACTGGAGAAAATTATCGGCTTCTGTACGTTCATGTACGAAGTTTTAGACAGAAGGCAAGATAAAATGATTAATTAAATTACAGAACTCCCTAAATCTATTACCCTCCAAACTTCGTCATGAAACTTCGTAACCTTGGTCGCAATTTAGCAATACACTGAATAATAAACCAGTATATTGTTACAGCAAACGACGGCTATCCTCAGCCAGTTCAATCCACTTCTATCGGTATGTTTTTAATATTATCCTTTCGAGCACGTTGGTGTAGGGGCAACATTCTATATGTGTATTCGAGAGGTATCACAATCCCAGCCAGGTTACAGGTTATCCAGACATTTTCATGGATTTCCTCAGGCACATCACAGAAAAAAAACCTTTAAACATGTCACAGGCCTCTCCTTCCAAGCCCCTGTCATACCATTCAGTATTATCACATTTCATTCAATGCTTATACACTGTGTAGTTGATACAGTGTGTTTAAAATAACCCTAAGATTAAGAATATTACATTTTAATTTACGACTTCTAAGTCGTGTTGAATTTTCCAAACAAATATTTTGCAGTTATTCTGTAACCCAGGGCATTTTGATGGAACGAATGCAGCCGGGCTTATACAATCGTCTTAAAGGGGTTTGAAGAGCCCCACAGGACATGAAAGGATATTGATTCGATTATCCTCCCTGTATCCCGTTTGAAACAGGACTGTGCCCACTTCGTTTCCAACTCCATTCAAATTACTGTCGGAAAAACAAACAAAGTGGTAATTTTTTTGAAAATATCGGTGCAAAAAAAAACACATCTTTCGTCATTTATAAACAATTAAAATTAATTATCTGTAGCGAGATTTTGTTCAGCCCTGTTTCGTCACTCTTCTGTTCCCTCCTACTTTTGCACACCCCTTACAAGCCACATTATTTACAGAACTCTTGTTCACCACGAACTGCAAACCAATAACTGCACGAATTGGTGTGCGTCTTGAGAAGATGATGGTCGCCCAGCTAATCAAGAAATTCCCCGAATTTGTGAAAGGCAGAAATTCATTATCGCGCTCACAAAAGCCCGCTAACGGCTCCAGCCTTGAGTCACAAACATTAAGAACAAGCCCTCATATATACCATTCCTTAAACTGAATCTATATAGTCAAGACTACTTTAAAAAGCGTTGTTAAATAACTATAATCCATAAAAGACAT